TACATCTCAGTAGTCTTATTCTCCCTTTGACTGTTCCAATATTGTTGATATGGACTCAGAGCCCAGAGTCAGTCAGTCTGGGCCTGTCCAGGCGCACTCCTGTTCCCCCTGGTTCGCCACTCCTCACCTCTTGACTAGCCGTGCTTCATGTTAAATGGTTAAGAGGCAAACTCTGACTGCCGCTCAGCATCTCCGCAACCATTCAGCAGATCTGGATATAAATTCTATCCGCACTCATGTTTTTATATTGGAGAAAGTGTCTCATGTGATAGCTCCTGTGAATGGAAGCTGTCACATGGAGAGCAGTTTGTAGGCTGCTGGAAAAATGACATTGTTCCTTCTTTTTGGACACAGAGTACGGTTCTCTGTGGGTGCCTTCTGTATTCTTCCTGAACGTTTTGGGCACATTTCTTGTCACTGGCTCCAGAATAATTTTCCCAATCCAGCAGGTTATTTTTTTGGTTGGCGTTGAAATCCAAAATACACATGGAAATGTCCTTACTTGCAGTTGTCTCACAGTTCATTCCGTGAAGGGAAACAGGTCGGTTGGCTTTTTCTTCTCCGAGAGTCCCTCTTTGGAATAGCAGAAGCCCCATGGGCATACTACATCACTTGCTAGCCTCGATCAGGGTATTAAAACTGCACCTCTTAAAGCGCCCTCCTAAGCAGAGGTATAGCCTTCTAAGCCCTCAGACTTCAATGGACCTGGAGCAGGGGTCACCAACCATTTTGCGCCTGTGGGAACATTGGGAATTCTGACATGGCGTGGTGGGCGCCGCAACAAAATGGCTGCCACTAAACGATTGCCACAGGAGGTGGTTTTTGTCGTTCAGTCGCACAGTTGAGTCCAACTCTTCGCGACCCAGTGGACCACATCACACCAGGCCCTCCTGTCTTCTGTCGTGCTCCGGAGTTTGCTTAATTTCATGTTCGTTGCCTCGATAACACTGTCTAACCATCTCATCCTACGCCGTCCCCGTCGTCTTTGACCTTCAATCTTTCCCAGCACTAGGGTCTTCTCCAGTGAGTGCTCCCTTCTCATTAGGGGGCCAAAGTATCTGAGCTTCAGCTTCAGTATCTGGCCTTCCAGGGAACAGTCAGGGTTGATTTCTTTTAGGATTGACTGATTTGATCTCCTTGCAGTCCAGGGGACTCTCAAGAGTCTTCTCCAGCACCATCATTCGAAAGCATCTGTTCTTCGGCGCTCGGCCTTCAGTCACACAGTGTCGGTCCTTGTGCTATGATGGCAGCTGGCGCCAAAGCACCATTTTTAAAAAATATCTGCACAGCTAATCAAACCTCCAGTAGTCAATCAGAAGTCTTGCTAAACAAAAGTCCCACCTGGACCCACTAACTTCCTAAAAACACTTGGCAGGCTCCAGAGAAGGTGACACCCACGGCACTCGCGGGCACCCCGTTGGGGATCCCTGACCTAGAAGTACATAACTCTGCTTAGGATGGCACAGTTCCATTTTCAGACAAGGGTAATATGGGAAGGGAGGGAGAGAAGTCACTTTCCCTGCTTGGCAAATAAATATCTCCAGCTGCTGAGGTTTGTTTTTCTGTTGTTCTTTTATTTACAGCCCGGTTGGGAGGAAAGGATACATCTGGACGGAAGAACGTTTTATATAGATCATAGTAAGTAGGCCACGCAGGTTCTACAGCTAGTAGGTGAAGGGAGGTAATGTAAGATTGAAGTGAAAGCTTTGTAATTTTACTCTTCATTTAGGAAGCCAGGTGTTGATATGTGGCGACATTCATACCCGAGACTTAGTGCCCTCTTACGGTACTGTATAATTCACCAAAAGCTTGCTTTTAATTGGCTCATCAAGCTTTGTCCCGATTTTGCTCTTGTGAAGCATTAACATTTCTTCTTTGTGGTTGTTTTTTGTTGAACTTTTTTTTAATTTATTTATTTGGTGTTGTGGATGGACCCCATGGCTTCTATGCACTTCTATTAATAAACGAAAGCACACCCTAGGAATAGAAAATAAGATGAGAAATCAAATGGATGCAGCCACGAGTCTTATCTGTGCAAGGCAGCAGAAGAAGAAATTTTCGATAGAACCGTTTCCCCCCTGAAATTATTCCCCCTCCCCCCAAAAAAAGAAAAGAAAAGAAAGAAAAAGGGCTTGGGGCAATGCCAATTCTGACCTTATTTTCTATTTTGTGGCATGTTTCTCTTGCACCCACCCTGTTAATCTCTATCCACTTCTGTCCCTCAAAGTCCAAATGTAAATGGTGTTTCATTGTAGACATGTCCTTTGACAGCACCTCTGAGCAAGTGTGTGGGTCTTTGTTGTGTTTTGACTATCCAGTGGCAATAGAAAGTGATTTGTTCAGCTGGGAATGTTTGTGGATTGTCGGAAATATACATATTCATTAAACCAGAGAAAGGTTGTGTTCAGACTGGCAGTTTGGTGCGATATGGTGCCGCCTCTAATTGAACCGGTTTAAAGTGTTGCGGGGCATATCAGCCACACAGCACACCCTGCTGCGGGTTACACATGGAGACATCCCGTGGTCAGGCATCCACATTATTGCAGCGCCTCAGCCATGGAGCTCACTGCAAAAAAGCTCAAAATTCATGTGCGTGCATAAGTGCACGTGTGCCACATATGCGCTTGTGCGCATGCATGTGCATATAGGCAATTTTAAAAAAAAAAATCCCTCCCTAGCGGCAGAATGGATCTGCAGGTTCAGACTGCCAAATCCATTCTGCGCATGCTCCCCCATGTTCAGACATCCAGCCATGCGCAGTGAATGTGTGGGGAGGTGGTGGCTTTTTAACCCGGCTCCAAGTCGTCCTCTGACGGGGTGAGTATGCCCAGGAGTGGCTGTGTGACCGGGTCCATTTAATCCGTTTGTGAAATGTGCCTATATCGGGCCAAACTGCCAGTCTGAACGCAACCAAAGACATGGCAAGCAATAAGGGGAAGGTGTATTGAGCCTGTAAAATTAACCTTCTAGAAATCAATGCACCAGTGTCGTAGTCTCTCCTTTCCTGGAATCTCCGTAGAATTAGCCTTTAGAACTATCATTAGTGACATTAATATATCAGAGGGTTATGGGAGGGGGAGAAAACCCTGCCTGTGTGAAAGTAATGTATAGATTTGCAAGTGCATGGGTAGCTTTTAAGCCATATCATGACATTAAAGTAAGGAATGGAACGGATGATAATTCTCTGGTGAGCGCCAGCTTGATCTGTAAAAAGAGCTCCTCTGGAATTAACAAAGAAGTACCTAAAATTTGCCGCTGATTGTTCCTTTGGGAAACCATAGAGTACAATACCTAGGAGTTCAGGCACCTTCATTGGCTACATCACTGTTCCCATGTTTGTTTCTCCAGGCTTTAAAAGAGTGAGCCTGGGTATCTAGGGCTGCGATCACGCACACTAAATAACCCACTTGACTTCTACTTAGTTAAAAAAAGAGGTGATCCTTAAACTAGTACAGACGTTCAGTGGTGTCATCAGTTAACAAGTAGGTCCCGTGGTGATGGAAAATGTCATCAAGTCAGAGCTGGCTTGCGGTGACCTTCGTAGGGTTTCCAAGACAAGAGGTGAAGAGAGTGGTTTGACCATTGCCTGCCTCTGTGTGGCCACCCTGGATTTCCTTAAAGGTCTCTCATTCGTGTACTAACAGGGCCTACCCTGCTTAGGGTAGATAAGACAAGACTGGGCTATCCTGCATCATCCAGGGCAGGACGGGGTCCAGTAGCAGCCCTAATAGCTCAGACTAGCCTGATCTCATCAGAGCTTGAAAGCTAAGAGGGGTCAGTTCTTGGATGGGAGGCCACCAAGGAAGACCAGGGCTGCTGTGCAGAGGAAGGTAACAGGAAAGCCACCTCTGCTCATCTCTTGCCTTGAAAACCCCACGAGACGAAACTTACAGGGGTCGCTATGAGTCAGTGGCAACTCCGTGGCATACTTTGCCTTTTAAACGTCACTTGCAGATCCGTGTCTCACGGATCCCTCTCTCTTCACCTAGCCCTCGCCTCTGGAGAGACATGCAGGATCCTGGTAGACACTTACATTCGCTCTTGCCCTGGTTAATTAATAAAAATTAATTAAGGCATTTAAGCTCAGCTTTTCTCCCACTCTGGTGACTCAAAATTGGCCTACAAGATAAGATAAGCCGCCCTGAGCCCATTTTTTGGGGATAGGGAGGGGTATAAATCTAATAAATAAATAATTATACTTTCAGTTTGTACCCAGCTCACCCCCGAAGGGCTCTGAGCGGCTTACACGGTGCATGGTGCAGAGACCTATGCAGAAACCCTAACTATGGCCACAGTCGTCTGGGGTGGGGGGAGCCCTACCAGGTACCCTCCCAGCTCCGACACAACACAGCTGAAACAAATATACAATACAAGAAGTGGGACCCGCGATACTCACGGGGGGGGGGTTCCCCGCGGCTCACGGGTGGCCAGCCTGCTGAAACAGCAGGAACTCCACACGGAGGAGAAGGAGGCGGCCGCAGGTGAGCCCAGCAGGCAGTCCACAGCAACGGCCACGGCTCCTAGCCGCTGGGCCCGCCCGGCTTCTCCCCCCCCAGCTGACAGTTGCAACGGCAGCGAGCCCTATAGGGAGAACATCTTGAGTCCCCATTGGGGAGAAAAACCCCAACGAAAGAAAATGGAAAGAAAGAAAAAGAATGGATTTCTCAATAGTTCTGATTCAGCCTTCTTTATTTAAGTTAACTGTACTTTACTGAGATTTTCTAGCCTTCCCCCTCCACTAGGACTCCCGTCCCATTCTTTTGTTTTCCCTGGGTAATGTTCCTAATAGATCATAATTGTAATGTTGGGTAGCATCCAAAGAATCGCAAGCAGTGCTCTGGTAACGGAACGGATCTTATTTTGAGTGGATGTTTCTCACTAAACAGCGTGATGGGGTTTTCATGAATGGGGTCTATGGAATTTCCCCCTCTAACCATGGAGAATGTAGTTACACAGAGACAGGCAAGAGCCAGAAATGTATGTCAGAAAGTCAAAACCTGGATGGGAAGAGAGTGTTGGAAGAGAACTCAAACTGTGACTTTCTGTTTTTAATTACAGATAATAAAATTACCCAGTGGGAAGATCCAAGATTGCAGAATCCAGCTATCACTGGTCCAGTAAGTACTGCATGTGTTGCTGGGATACTTTGGAGGCAGGTTCATGACTTCCTTTCCATGCTTGGCTTTTGTCTACCTTCAGACCACAGCTGGTAGAGGACAGCAGCTCACCCGAAGGAGTACATCCACAATCCTCCATATTTGTTCACCCTCAGCCTGCTCGGGGCCACCAAATCAAAGTCTGATGCAACAGATTGTAGCAGCAATAATGCCGCTGAGATTGTGTTCAGTCCCCTCTTGTCAGTCGCAGACCCCAGGGTCTTTGCAGCAGGCTAAATAGCCCCAGCTGCCCCCAACTTGTCACAGCTAATCAAGCAGGGTTGGCCATAGTTAGTTCCTGGACGGGAGACCACCAAGGAAGACCGGAGTTGCTGTGCAGAGGCAGGCCATGGCAAACCACCCTCTGCTTACTTCTTGCCTTGAAAACCACATGAGGGATCGCCATAAGTCGGTTCCAGCTTGACAGCACAATCATTATTAGTGGCAGTTGAGAATCTAAACCAGCAAGTGGGGCAGAGTAGCTAAGAGGATACATTGCGAGCCAAGAAGCCCATTGGTCCAAATCCTGCATCATCCACAAACTTAATGGATGGCCTGCAGAAAGCATCACGACCTTAGCCCCTGTCTGTAATGTACAACTATAGTAATACAGGCCTACCTTGCTGGGCTGCTGTAAGTAGGGTTGCCAGACTCCAGTAGGGGCCTGACAATCTCCCGGAATTACAACTAATCCGCAGACTGAAGAGATTAGTTCCACTGGAGAAAACGGCTACTTTGTGCAGTGGACTTCGTGGCATGATACCCTGCCAAAGTCTCTCTCCTCCGCAAAACCTACCCTACCCAGGCTCCACCCCCCAACCTCCAGTAATTTCCCAGCCCAGAGTTGTAAGGATAATGTGTGTCAAGTGCTTGAACAATGAAAGTGCTAGGCAGTACCATATCATCCTTCTCAGTTTCAAGAATGGTTCTTCCCTTGTCACCGTGCTGGATTGTTTTCAGTTTTGGTGTGTGTGTCTGGAAATATTTCAGTAGTAGATGCACAGTTGTATTTACTACTTGAATATTTAGGCTGGTCCTGCATTGGGCAGGGGGTTGGACTAGATGGTCAGTATGGCCCCTTCCAACTGTGATTCTATGACCCGTATTCCCTTTATTATTCCCTTTATTATTAATGTACCAGGTGTTAGGTATGGATCACGGAGACCTGGATTCCAATCCCTACACAGCCTTGAAGTTCGCTGGTCGACCTTGTGCCAGCCAGGCAGCCAGGCAGTCTCTCAACCTAACTTATCTTGCAGGGTTATACTTGTAGATAAAATAGGGCAGGGGGGGGAAGAAGAAGAAGAGTTGGATGTATACCTCTCCCTTCACTCAGAGTCTCAAAGAGGCTTACAATCTCCTTCCCTTCCTCTCCCCACAACAAACACCCTGTGAGGTAAGAGGGGCTGAGAGAGAACTGCTCTGAGGGAACTGTGGCTGACCCAAGGTCACCCTGCTGGCTATGGAGGAGTGGGGGATCAAACCCCATTCTCCAGATTAGTTTCTGCTGCTTTTAACCACGACACTAAACTAGGCTGTGCTCCTTGCAAGAAGGGGACAGAGAGAGGTGATGAATTGTAGAGGGCCCCGCTTTGGAGTGTGAGCTTCCTCTTGTGAAGCCATTCCATCTGCCGAGCAACTGAATTTATGGGACAGACGAATATTTCCATCTTCTGTATTCTGGCACCGTGTTCATCTGTCCTTCCTTCTGCTGTTCTGGAGCTGTGTCAGGCGGCTTCTTTTCTCAAACTGAGTCCATCGTTTGCTGCCAAGTAGGCATCCATTACTGAGAACCCGACACCCCCCCCCCAAAAAAAATGATGTGGTTCCAAGAGAGGAAGAAATGCTACATTTAGCAGTCCACCCACCCGCTGGCCCCCTGGTGACTGGAGTAAAAAAATAACTGAAATGGGTAAACCATATATCTTAATTTGGCATCCCTGATAAATGAGGCCAATTATTTTGCTATTAGAAACTAACTGAGAGGTGGAATGCATTTGTTTGTGTTGTATCTTAACAAGCCTGGCCTTCTGGGACCTCTAGCGAGAAATTCTCTAGCTGGAAAACTCAAAAAGTGAGAGCAGATGCATGCCACAGAACTGTTATGTTCTGGATTGTTGTCCCCGTCCCCCTGAGCTGTGGTAGTTTTTGAAGAAGGAGGAGCACATAAGGGCTGTCCCCAAGACTGTCATTCTACGCACAGTGTTAGGAGCCCTCTCTCTGAGTTCCTGGTTCGTGACCCACAAATATAATAGAAAATCATCTCACCCGCACAGTTTCACCCGTCTTAGTTCCCACTTCCCTTACCTGCTCTGACACTTTCTTGGAATAGAATTGGCCTGGAGGACAATGAAAAAGATTCCCTTGGGTGTTATTAACAGCCTGTTCTGATGAGAGTTTTTGTGGCCATTGAATCTGGGGGGGGGACGGGGGGGGCCCAAGGCGGGAGAGTCTATTTGCCGGTCTTCTGTTCCCAGCTGACTTTTTCCACTAACAACCAAGCACTCACCTCTTTCAGGCTGTTCCCTATTCCAGAGAGTTTAAACAGAAGTATGACTACTTCAGGAAGAAGTTAAAGAAACCGGTAAGTAATTTGGGTTTATTTTGTATCGGAAATCAACCGGCTTGTTGATAGGGAAAAGCACATCCTCAGTACCATGGTCTTTTGTAGGAATGCCTTTTTCCCATACTTTTTTTGTTTCAAGAAGGTAGCTGTGTTGGTCTGCAGAAAGAACATAAGAGAAGCCAATGTTGGATCAGGCCAATGGCCCATCCAGTCCAACACTCTGTCACACAGTGGCCAAAAATACCAGGTGTCATCAGGAGGTCCAGCAGTGGGGCCAGGACATTAGAAGCCCTCCCACTGTTGACCCCCCCAAGCACCAAGAAGACAGAGCATCACTTGCCCCAGAGTCCCTGTCTATACCTTGTGGCTAATAGCCACTGATGGACCTCTACCCCATATGTTCATCTAAAGGAGATTCAAGTCCTGTAGCGCCTTAGAGACCAACAAGGTGTTCAGCCCCCCCCCCCCGCCCCGGTCAGAGCCAGAATAGCATCCTAGAAGAATTGCAGGGTAACCCTGTTGCCTTGGTGAGCCGTGTTC